CCCATAACCTTCATGAAGATTAATACTCACTCTACAAAATGAACAAAAGATGGGGTAAACCTTCCAGTGTGTCATCTCTTTCATGGACTTCCTTAGGTAACTCAGTTCAGAAGTCCTCTGAGCTTGCTGAGTGGGTGGAATTTGGATGGCTTTCCACTCAAAGAAGGAGCGAGAGTGTTGATAGAGGTAGAAATGGGTTGTTTCAGCAAGATAGAGTACAGTCAGCCCTCCACATTTGTGACTTTAACTTTTGTGGATTTGATTATTCATGAATTTGATTAATATGTTCTCTCTAGGAATCTCTAAGTCCCCCAACACAACTCTATAATCAACATCCACCAGACGTTGCATTGGAAGACCTAGAGATTTTGCCAGAAGTCATGCTGGAAGACCTAGAGAGATTCTAGGCATTTGTAGGTCCACTTCTCTAGGCATTTGTAGATCCTCCAATGCAACTCTATTCCCCAGATGCATGCTGGAAGATCTAGAGATTCCTGGAGAAAACACCTCTTTAGGCATTTGTATGTTCTCCAGCATGACTGTATGGTCCATGTCTACCAGAACTCACACTGGAAGGCTTAGATTTCTAGAGAGAACACATCTCTAGGCATTTGTAGGTCCTCCAGTGTGACTCTGGTCAACATCCACCAGACGTCATGTTGGAAAACCTAGAGATTCCTAGTGAGAACACATCTCTAGGCATTTGTAGGTCCTCCAGTGTGACTCTGTGATCAACTTTCGGCAGACCTCTAGAGATTCCTAGAGAGGTATTCCCTCAGGTTAAAAGAAATTAGTGTTTTTCAATTTGTGATTTTCCCACTTTCACAGGGATACTGTGTCTGTAGCCCCAGCGAATGTGGAGGGCCCACTGTATTGAGAGATACAGAGCAGTTCATCTGAGTCTCTTCCCTTCTCTCTTCCCTTTAGAGGCCTGAAAATAGAAGGTTGGTTTCCTGAAGACTTGGAACATTCTTCTCTGTACTGAGATACAAAGGACATTTGTCTCTGTACATTCTAGTGAAATTTTAAAGAGCAGGTTTTGACAGGAGACATTTTGCTGACACTGAATATTTTGTTCACTTCTGACTCTCAAATAAGTGCTACTTCTGTCATAATGATTGATTTATATTCGTTTTAGAGTGTACCTTTCACATCTTTCTCTCCCTCTACCCCCACTTTCTTTTGGGGTATTATTTCTCCGCATTTGTAGCTACGTCGCTGGAGGATATTGCCGTTTTAAAAATGGTTAGAGAGCAGTAGCGAGCGACATACTTTTAAAGTCATAAAATGAAATGTTTAACTGGCCACACAGATTTTTTGACAGTACCATGCGTAAAGTATCGGATTCCCCCAAGGTGTGATTATCTTTTTCTTTTAATAAGACAAAAGGAAGGAAGTTGTTCAGTTGTTAAGAACCCTGTTACACAAAAGCTAAATAAATCCTAGGTGGTCCTGTAAAAAAATGAATGGTCAGTTCTCAGCAGAGAGGGGTGGGAAATTGGCTACTTAAAGAAGCCCAGATGGTTACTGAGAGTTGCAAGTGTCTTTAGATAAGTTATTTCATTTATTTTTTTTGAACTGAAGCTTGCAGTGTATCCCAGACCCCATGTTTTTCCCTTGGATGTCTTGGCGAGATCTGAGAGAAGCTGAATTCATAGAATCATACAGTTGGAAAGGGTCTTATGGGTCATTGTGTCCAACTCTCCACTCAATATATCAACCCCAGCAGGTAACAGTCCAGCCTCTTTTTTGAAGACTTCCAGAAGATGTTCTAGAAATATTATTCTCTGTGCATAAAATTCTGCAAAAACCCCGGAAAGATCTTTCACAGTTGTGCCAGGAAAAGTGGCTCTGATGGAACATTTTCATAAACTTTGGAGAAATCCTGAACAGCAAAATGTCTTCAAAAACTGCATCTTTTTCAAAGACTTTATCGCAGTGGGGAGAAAATTGTAAACAATTATTCACTGCTTCTTTTGAGGATGAAAATAGTGAAGAATTATATTCTCTACTTTTTCTCCTGTTTGGTCACATTTCAGTCATCGGAAATATATGGTTCAGATTGAAGAGGTCTTACTCAAGTAATTCAAATGTGCATATGAGAAAAGATACCGAGAAAACAGATGAGGCATGCTTTATCTTTATTTAGGTGACGAATAAATTTGTTCCAACAGGCCTAGCTTTAAAGAAGGTATGCACTCTTTTCAGCAATAGGGAATGAAGAAGCCTTTTCCAAAGATGGCATGGGCTATCTGTATTTTTTTTTAAAAAAACATAACTGGGTTAAAGATAATTTCAAAACTTCCTGCCCCATTAATTGAGAGAACCCTTTTTTGTAATAAAATTGTTTAATTGATTTTAGCTGGCCAGTTAGGTGGCAAGACAAATCCCCTAGAAGTTTGTTCAGAAGCAAATCTGTTGTTTCTTTAGGGTTGCCTCCTAAACTTGTAACCCTAATAAAACAGCTTTGACAAACTGAGAAGCTAAGAGATGGGTAACAAATAGTATGGTTGCAAAGAGGGCCTTCTGGTATTTAAGATATTGGACCACAGTAAAGCCCAAATACCCTAAAGCCACCAGATCCCATTTGATCTTGGAAGCAAAGCAGAATCAGCTCTGGTTAGCACTTGGATGGTAGACTGCCAATGAATACCAGATGCTGTATGTTATATTTCAGAAGAAAGAACTGACAAAACCACTTCTTGTCTAGGAAAACCCTATGAAATCCATGGGGTCACCATAAGTCAACAAGCAACTTGAGGGCAGAGCAGTGGCAATCGAGAGGGGCTATTGCTGGCCAAAAGGGCCCAGGCACAATGGAAGGGTGTCAGGTTGCTCTTCTTCTCCTTTGGAGAGCAGAGCAGTGGAAATCTGGAGAGGCTCTCATGAGCCAAAGGGACCCAGGAATGATGGAAGGGTTTCTGGTTGCTCTTCTTCTCATTTGGAGATTAGAGCAATAGCAATCTGGAGACCAGCCACCAGCCACAGAGGCCCAAGAATGATGGAAGGATTCCTGGTTGCTCTTTTTCTCCCTTGGAGGCCAGAGTAATGGCAATCTGGAGAGGCTCTCACCAGCCATAGGAACCCAGGCATGATGGAAGGGTACCTGGCTGCTCTTTTCCTTCAGACAGAGGCCAGAGCAATGGTAATCTAGAAGGTCTCTCAGTGGCAATGGGGCCCAGGCATGATGGAAGGGTTCTTGGTTGCTCTTCTTCTCCCTTGGAGGCCAGAGCAATGGCAATCTGGAGAGGCTTTCACTGGCCACAGGGCCCATGCATGATGGAAGGGTTCTTGGTTGCTCTTCTTCTCCCTTGGAGGCCAAAGCAATGGCACATTTATCAGCATCCTCTTGTTTAGCTTCACCTTCTTCTGCTATGAGAGTTGATCAGGTTCTCAACTAGTTCTCTGCTCAATGAACCATAAGCCAACCAGCCCTGGATCCTGGGCTCATCATTATACTCTGTCCAACTCCATCAACCTGTGACCTGGGATACTTTTAGCAACTTGTATGGGCTAGAAAGCAAGGTGATAGCAGGGAGACAGGACAGGCGGGAGAGCAGGTTTTCTCCCCGGAAAGATCTTTCACAGTTGTGCCAAGAAAAGCGGCTCTGATGGAACATTTTCATAAACTATCATCAGTTATGCCGCAGCAGCTTCACAAATCAGAAATGATATCTTCAGGCACCGCTGTCAAGTGTTATTCAAATAATACCAGCCTCACATTTGAATAACAGCAGACATTTTGAATTAATTAATCAGACGAGATAGTCGAGGCCCTTTCTCATTAGTCTCCGGGTCAGGCATGGGAAGATATATGCGTCGGTGATGATACACTTGTCTTTAATCGTGATTTATGAAGATTTAGGATTGCGTGTGATTTGTCAAAAGGGTTCTGGGGAAAGGAATATAAAGGAAAAAAGAGGCTGTGCATATTTCATTACCTAATCTGAGATTGATTTCGTGATGCCGAGAGATATAACCCTATTGTTAGGCTACATGGGAAAAGCGCAGGAAGAGGCAAAGCATCCTGGGATTATTATATTTTTTAAAAACTGGCTTATCTTTGTGACTGTCAAGCAAGGCTGTAAACTTTTACAGCCAGCACTTAACAATTTGCAGTTTAATTATAGGCAAATTCTTCATTCGCTTGATAGGGAATGGGGGCTGGGTTGGAGGTAAAAGAAGAAGAGAGGAGAGACCTTTTTGGTGGTTATTTAGTTAAAAAGCGTAGTGGGCTGGATCATTCCTTCCTGGTGTAAATCGTGCATAGAAAGGTTGGCAAATTTCATGCCTTGGTCATGGTAAAAAATATAAAATTTCATGCTTTGTTGCAGATTAATTGGGCGGAGGGGGGAGACAGTTTAAGCAGTGTAAGGCAAAGCATTGGGGCAGCTTGTATGCCAACATCATTTCCCTAGGATTTATCATTCCCTGAAATTTATCTTGACTTGTAATCCAATAACTGGAGGGGCCACATTTTTCCAAAGTGTAAGGATGAAATGACCAAGGGTGGATCTGCACCAGGGGTAGGCAACCTTTCCCCTTTAAGGGCCAAGGGACTTCAGCTCCCAGAATCCCAGGAGCTATTGGCCAACATGGGACTATTGGCCAACATGGCTGAGGTTTCTGGGAGCTGAAGTCCCTCGGCCCTTAAAGGGGAAAGGTTGCCTACCCCTGATCTACACTGAAGAAATAATGCTGTTTGACATCACTTGAAGTGTTGTAGCTCCATCCTATGGAATTCTGGAACTTGTAGTTTTACAATGTCTTTAGCATTCTCTGTCAAAGAAGGCTGGGGCCTCACCTAACTACAGATCCCAGGTGTCCATAGGATGGAGCCATCCTAGTTAAAGTGGTGTCAAATGGCATCATTTTTACAGTACAGATGCACCCAAAGTGCAAAAGTGAAAAGAAGGGAAGTAGTTTTGGGGTTCTTGGTTGTCCTGTTTTCCTTTTAGACCATAAGGACTAGAAGCCTTTTAAAGAAAGTCCAGACATGAGCCAGAGTGGTGTAGTGGTATGAGTGTTGGACTAGGACTCCAGGAGACCAGAATTCGAATCCCTGCATGGCCATGGAAAGCCACTAGGGCAAGTCATACACTTTTAGCTTCAGAGGAAGGTCATGGCAAACCTTCTCTGAACAAATCTTGCCAAGAAAACTTTGTGATCAGTTTGCCTTGGGATTGCTGTAAGTTGGGAAATACCTGAAGGCACACAACAACAACAACAAAGACATGGCTTTCTTTTTTCTTTTGGTATCACATAATCCTATAAAGCCTCACAAGTATCCTTGCATTTATAAGCAATAGGCAGTCAATCAATTTTGAATCAAATCAATGTTAATTTGAACTCGGTGCAAACACACCAAAAGCATGTAATAATTTACAGAAGGGTGGGTCAATATGATGTGCTAGAAGAAAAACTTAAGTCACTCTGTACATACACATGTAATCCATGTTAAAAAAGGAGAGTTTATGTCACAGTTGTTATGTGTGTTATGTTATTCTTATTCCAGAATAAGAAGTATTTTCCTGCCCACCCAGCCTCTTCTCTTTTCCTCCTTGTCCTCTGTCAAGCCAGAAGATTTTTTAAAACAGTACTGGAATTGAGAGAATGGTGAAGGACTGGAGAAACTTTGATTATTTCTGTATGTGGAATGATGTTACAAATGGCCATTCAATGATTCCTCCCTCCAAGACTTACCGTAGAGTCACTGTAAAGCCCCCCCCCCCCATGGTTATTCTGTGCCTGAGTGTCTGGCTATGTCCCTGTAGCCAGATGCAAAACGATGACATTCTCAACCATGCCTTATGAGGAGAGACTTAGGGAGCTGGATATATTTAACCTGGAGAAAAGATGGTTAAGGTGATATGATAGCCCTGTTTTAGTATTTGAAGGAGCATCATATTGAGGATGGAGCAAACTTGTTTTCTGCTGCTCCAGAGAATAGGACATGGAACAATGGATGCAAGCTACAAGAAAAGGGATTCCATCTCAACATTTGGAGGAACTTCCTGACAGTACGATCTGTTTGACAGTGGAGCACACTCCCTAGGAGAGAGGTGGAGTCTCTTTCTCTGGAGGTCTTTACACAGAGGCTGGATGGCCATCTGTTGGGAGTACGTTGATTATAAGTTGGCTTTGGTTGATGCCTTTGGTTGTAGGACATGAATGCCAACCCTTGCATTGAACAAAAAGAGACATATGCAGGTATAAGGTTGACTTATACTTAGACTGTCGTACTTTGGACACATCATTAGAAGGCATGAATCATTGGAAAAGACAATAATGTTAGGAAAGGTGGAGGGAAGTAGAAAGCATGTAGAAGGCCACATGCGAGATGGATGGACTTTATTCAAGAGACCACGAATATGAGTTTGCAGGAGTTGGGCAGAGCAGTAGAGGATGGGGGGGGGGGCTGGAGATGTCTCATCCATAGGGTCGCCATGGGTCAAGACTGACGCGAAGGCAGTTAACAACAACAAAAATACTTGCATATACCATAAACAGGAAAACATCCATTCTGAATTAACATTCTCAACTTTACTGAATCCTCGCTTGAGGACATGCAATTCTGTCTATTACACTTCAGCACAGAGACGGCTGTATCCATCTATTTTCCATCTGTGTCTATTTCTCATTTAATTGGTTCTAAATCCATCCTGTCCATTTTCTGTGCATCTGTGGTAGCTTATTAAAAAAAAAGCATTTTACATTTTTTTTAAATAGTTGCCTTTTTATGTGTACCTGGATTTTTAGTGCTCAAGCTTTGACCCGAGAATTGCATCTATTAATTCCCAAGACACATGCACCCCAAGAACAGTGGTGTTTCTATCCATGGATTAGTCCAGGAAGTGCAAAATAGGTTGGTCTGCATATAAATGAGAGCTAAATAAAATCCTTGACACCTCCCTGATCTTTGCTTTGGAGTGAGAAAGATGTCAAGGAAGGGCCTCTGATGGAAATTTTCATGCTTCCTCACCAATAGAAAACTAGCTGCAACCTCACCAAGGTGCTTAGAGTTGTGTGTGCATGTGTATGCCTTTACATCACCCATCTACTTGTGGCGACCCCATGAGTTTCATAGGGTTTTCTTAGAATTACAATGATATTAATGGCATGAGGATTTTGGGTTCTGTTGATGTGTATCCAATCTCAGGTGAACTTTCAGTTTGGCCTGGTAATGTCACTGAAAGGTAGAAGTCAGAGAGCCTCAGCATGATGAGACACCAATGAAGGCAAAACTGAAGTTTTATTTGTCATGTCGACAGCTTCTCTTTGGAGTTTTGAGATAAAAGATGTTATCTGCACTGGTACTGGTTGGGAATCATCTGGATTGGTCTAGTTTATTGCAGCCTTTTCCATCCCAGGGTCTCCAGGTTCTTTAGGTCAGTTATTCCCAAGGTCTGGTCCTCCAGGTGTTTTGGACTTTAGCTCCCAGAATCCAAAACCACTGGACAAGATGGCTGAAGTCTCTGGGAGCTGAGGTCCAAAACACCTGGAGGACCAGACTTTGGGAATCACTTCTTTAGATAATGACTTGCCTCAGAACCTGCTAACTTGGCCAGCGGGGAGGGATCATGGAAGATGAAATCTAAAACATCTGGAGGACATCATTTTGTGGAAGGCTGGCCTGCTGAAGTTGGCCAAAGGCCTAGAGAAAGCAGAGGCTCTTCACCAGACCAGATTCTTGGAGATAGTGGGGATTTCACCAGAGTTTCGAAAAGTTATTTCTCTTGGACTACAGTTCCCAGAATCCCTCCACCAATATAGTTACTAGCCAACAAGTAGCATCTCCAAATTAACATGGGCTCTCTGCTATGTACCACCAGCAGGGGAAATACATTGTGGTAGGACATGGGAGAGGTTCTTCTCTGTGGTGATACTCCAGTTGTGGAATTCCCTTCCTCTGGAGGCCCGATTGGTGTCAACTTTGAGATCCTTCCAGTGCCAAGGCAAACTCTGGCTTTTTATTAAAGACTTTGGGCCTAAGTGGCTTTATCCAACCTGCACATGTCTCATTCAAAATGGTTTTAACTGGTTTTAAATTGTCTGGTTTTTAATTGATAAACAATTTAATATATATATTTAATCTTTTTTAAACTCTGGGTATTATTTATTGTTTTTAAATTGATTTTAAATTGCAAGCTGCCCTGAGATCTTTGGATATAGAGCAGGATGTAAATATTTTAATAAGTGAAAATAAAATATGCAGCATATGATTTAATGCTGAGCTCTGGCTCTCTGTATAGCTGATGCATCTCACTGGGATTTCATTTATTTTCTATGTGGTGCACACCGATTATAGTTGTTGCTTTTCAGCCCTTTGTTTGGGCTGCACATACCTGCTTCTTCCCCTTCTTGCCTACTTGCTTTTGTTATGTTTTGCTGCGTGCCCTAGGCCAAGAATGCATGGTTTCCAAATGTTGTGTCCTTATTCCAGTTGTCATCTTAGGGAAGCTGATCTCTAGTGTGAATCTTTCAGTGACCACGGTTATGGATTTTTGGTCTGAAATTTCATTCTGGTTTCACTTTGCTTCAGATCTGTGCTGCTTGTCACTGACCGTAAAGTTTTGTCCCCTTGATCCCCTTTTAGGATCTTTTGGCTTTGCTAATGCTGATTCTATAGTACTTGGGCAGCTATTATGCTCATAAAAATATTTCTCTGGGGAGAGTCTATTCCCTGAGCATTCCCAGAGCTTGACAACATTGACAACATGTTCTTGACAACGTTCGGCCTCTGTTTCCCCAGCCTGGAAAGATTGGTTATTATAAAAACAAAACAAAAAACCAATGACATGACATTGTAGGAGAAGGAAGTGCCTTGAAAACTGTATTTTGCCTGCAAGGTGGCATCTCCAGAATTAGCAAAGAGAGATGGCCAACTTTGATTTCAGAGCTGGGAAACTTGTGGCCTTTCAGATGTTGTTGGGCTGTACCTTCCATCAACTCTAACTAACATAGCCAGAGGCGAGGGAGGGATACTTTCTCACACACATCACCATGAAAATAGAGTTTGGGCTCTTCTCTTTTCCTTATAAGCCAATTCCAGGCAGATAAAATACTTCTTCCTCCAAATTTATAGTTTGCCTAGTGGAGAGTTTTCTGCTGCAAGGTATGATTTGGTGGAAACTCCATCTGAGTTGATTGCTAAAGGGGTTTAGGCAAACTTATGGAAGAAGAGATGTATACTTTATTGTTTGTTTCTGTTACAGACTTTCATCAAATGCACTTTAGTCTGGAACACAATTTTCTCCAATAGTTTTTAGTACTTAACTTTCGAGTACTATATGCCTTTCCTTATGTCTACTTGACACAGAGAGAGAGACTGGTTTGCTCAATAAGTTTTATGGCCAGTGGGCACTAGAACCAAGATCTGTAGATTTCTTTCCATCATTGTAAGTGTTACACCAGCTTGGCTGTTATTAGCCATTCCACTTATGTAGAACTTCCAGATTTGGAGACTATTATGTTAGTAATGCTAGCTACAGGGAGCAAGTGAGGGCTATTATCTTTCTGTCTTGATCATGGAAACAAGATGCTGAGTTAGACCTTTTGATCTGATCCAGCATGTCTTCTTACCCTCACCTCCAAAAGGCCTCCAAAGAAACATACTTGGCTTGGTGGTAACTCTTGGTTTGAAGTTTTATCTTTTGCAATTGCCTGTAGTTTAGGCTTTGGAAAGTCTAATTTCTGGTTTCTGAAAGAAGGCAATTTTGAGATGAAAACAAGATGTGCAGGAATCATGCATCTGGTTTTAATGCAAAAAACAACAACAAGCCAGGGCTTTCTGTTGTTGTTGGGGCTCATTTAGCCCATGGGCATTATGGTGTTGCCCCCAGTGTTTTGTTTTATTCTCATTGGCACCTCTCTCCTCTTTCCCCAGAGTTTTAGGTTAGATCCTGCACTGACAGAGCAGGTCTCCTCCAGCAATGATTCCATTAGTCTTGTTTTGCTTTGGAAGTGCAGCTTAGTTTGCTTGGTGTCATTGGCTCTGGGGGTGTTTGACAAAGACCCTCTGTCTAATGTTACCCAGTTGCCACTCAAAATCAAAGTAATTTTACTTGTGTGAG